TGCCAGCAAGGATTGTTTTCAAAGTCAGAGCCATCATGCATAATGATACTGCATCGCTTATACAACCATTTTAAATCTGGTAGTACACAAAGCTATAAATAGTAATAATAATTTAAAGATGAAGTGTGTAGATACAATTAACGGTTAATTTATTCTAAATTGCATTTACCACATCATTAAGTAAAACATTCGTCAATATGACAGTTATTTGTGAAATAATCTTTCAAACAAATTGCATTCAATTTGTGCTTCTAATCAGCCAGTTACATAATGCAATGTGAAGAGGTCAACCAGAACTATATCATATACGTACTATATCACCAGAACAGAGATTAGTCACAATTAGGTACCTAATCCATGTTATCTGTATATGTTACCGCTATTGCTATTCTTGTAAATGCTAAAGGACAACGAAATTTATATAGGAAAGCTGCCTTCGCTTTCTCTGGGGACAAATTATTATAATATTTGCTTGTGCTCAAAAAGTCAAAGGATTTGCACTTTGCATTATCCATTTGTTTAAAGGGAGGTTGTTTGCGATCTAAATATAAACTTCAGCAGTTGCGTTCGCTATTAATTGACTCATACTTGAGTCCCTTTATGTGATAAACACGCACAGCTAATAATCAATGATATGGCAACTGTGTGTACAGAACAAATAAGAAAAGAAACAAATATTCTGTGTCCATACTCACATATACCAAGAGGAATACAAAGAAGAGCAAATATGCGTGCTTTAAAGCTGGACTCCTTAAAGGTTATTTATATTAATTTTTTACACACTGCTATTATGCAAAAAAAATAACCTTTCCTCTTGTTGCTAAAAAGCCCTTGCCACCGTACCTATTTAGTTCAGCATATATATTTATTACGAACATTTGTTCCCAAGCCTAGAATTCACTTTCTCAAAGCTTGGGATTTATGGAAGATGGAAATGATCCCTTTTTTATTTTATTAGCTGGGGGTGGGGGTGTCCCTTCTGCATAAGCCCGTTCTCATTCTTTCCGTTTTCAGCATCTACACCGCCCAGGGGAGTTGGGAAGCTACAAGGTAAGAGTTTCTCGCTCTTCCTGCTCAGCCTGCACTGAAACTGGTCCTCCAGACCAGTTTGGCACTTACGCCACTCTGTACCCTCTCCTTACCAAAACATCAGAGCACTCGGGTTCCTCCCAATAGTGAGAAAAAGCTCCTTATCCCGCGAGCGAACCGAAACAACTCCTGGGGCTTTCCCTGAGTGAAGTGCCGTGCGAGGGGACCAGGGACCCAGCAGGTCAAAAACCTGCACCGTGTCTTCCAAAGCTTATGATCCCTTTTGCTATTTTCACCCCTAGTCAGTGAAAAAGACCGACATTTCCTATTTTCAAATAAGTCTTTGGCGAGAGGCATCCCACCTTTTGAGCTCCCCCCTGCAATCCCAAACGCGACTCCTTTGCTATTTCCAACCACCAAACCACTGATTTGCACCTCTTCTGCTTTCTCCTCGGCTTCCACACACAAGAGTCGATATGCAAAGGTTTGCCTTTCTCTGCCCTAGGCACGTTTTCCCTCTCTGGTTTATAGCACGGCCAGGCTGCAGCGGGCAAACCTGTGCCCCTGCCAGGAGCTGCATCTGCGCAAGTGGCTCTGCCACGCACCCGGGGCCGGGTGGGTGAAGCGTGGGAGGAACCCGCAGCACACACACGTGCATCTCAGCTGCTCCTCGTTGACTGGAATAATCCCATGTCATCCTTAAGGAACTGCAGTGGCTATAGGATTTATAGTGGAATAACGTCTATTGAACACTTGCAAATTTTGAGTGCTACAGGACCTTTACTGGGCCCTCCTGGAGTGGAGCCTACCTCATACCAGAGGGAAACGTCAAGTCCCCGTAACCTGTCATTTCCTCCTGTACTTTCACCACCTACCTGCCTCATCTGAGAGAGAACACGATGACTCTGAATAGCTCATTAAGACAATTAAGCCGACTCCAGGTACGAGGAGGGCAGCATCCCCCCAGCAGCTCTCCTCCACCCCAGCTTACCCACTTCAGGGGCTGACTCCGTGTCACTTTTAAAAAACCAGCCCTTTCACTGCTTGTAGGCACACGGCAGGGCCTGTTCTTCTCATTTATTTTTTCGGAACGGCAGGCTAGCCGTAGGTTAACGATGCTGATAAAAATGGAGTGGAAGCTACGCCCGTCCCCTGGACCCAGGGCAGCGGTTTCAGCAGCGGCAGCCCTGCGGCAGAAGCAAGCAGAACGCCACCTCTCCCTCTGCAGCTCCCTAACGAAGAGCCAGGCAGGCTTGATGAGACCTCGAGGACCTGAGCACACCAAAACCAGATTTTGCTGCGGTCGCCGTGCCTGCATTGCAGCCGCCGGCAGCACGGGACAGTTGCCGCAGCCAGCGACGGACCTCCCGGCACTGAGCAGCCGCGTTTTAGCCGGCCCGGCGCCCTCTCTGCCCTCTCGTCCTCCGCACTCGAGGCAATTAAGCAAAGAGCGCAGGGGGGGGCTTACACCGAGGCGTAAGGAAGTCGTACCACGCTGTAACCTCCAAGGGAAATCTTGGAAGAGCAACTATAGTCCTCCTGCGTATCAGCCTGGCTGAAAACAGGTTTAAATATAACCTTGTTCTTAAAATCCATATACATGCCCGAAAATACAAAGACGCTGCCTCCAGCGAAAAAAATCAGCTGAGGCGCAGGAATCGCGCTATTTTGGTACCGCTGCTGACGGGGAAGCCGGCTCCCCTGCAGCGCCGTTTTTGGGGGTTGGGGTTTTTTTTGGGGGGGGGTGAGGGCCGGGGTTCCCCGAGCCCAGCTTCAGGCGGCGGGGAAATCCCACCGGGGCGCGGAGCCGCGGGGAGCGCAGGGGCTGCCCACGGGAGGGCGCGGGTGGAAGCGGCCCTGGGCAGCCGGCTGCGGAGGTGCAAACGGACCGCGAACAAGCCGGCCGCGGTGGCCCCCGGCCCCTCCGAGCCGCCGGTAGCCACCCTGGGCTGGGTTGCACCGGTGGTGACCGCGGCACCGGTGCGCGGGCAAGGGGGGCTGGGGGCGGCTCACGGTGTAACGCGTCCCGCTGCTGGAAAACAGCTCCGAGGGGTTTGTCCGACCGGCCCCCGCGGGACCGGGGTACTCCCTGCTGGCTTTGCTGTGCCAGCCTGACAGGCTGGTGCCGTGGTTGTCGCCCCGGCAAGCAGGGGACCGATCGAGGCGGATGCCCAGCTGACTTTAAGTAGATCCGCTGGGATGTTTCATTTCCACTCGGGTCATTTGAGGTAGAGTTCCGTGATTGATGTTCACGCTTTGGGGATTAAAGGAGAGGGAAACGGCCGATAATCTCAGGTGCTCATAGAAAAACACGTAGCGTTTCTGGTGCAAAACGACTCTAGCATGCTAGCTGCCTTTGGGTGCCTTGTTTTCTTAGCGTTACGATACACTGACTTCTGTCTTTGCAGTTACCCGTTCACCTGAGGCAAGTGTTTGGAATTAACTGAGAAGCATAAAACGCGAAAAATACAGAGAGGGGCTGGTAAAGGGGAAATGGACGTACAAATGTACGGAACAGCTAGAACAGAGGTGATGATGCCTCTGCTGCTCCACATCCTTGCTGGGTGAATGCCAGAGCACTACCCCGCCGCGCCCCGCGTCCCTTTTTAAAGCGAATGAAAGGGATTTTCTTTAAAGGCGAATCGCAGTTTACTCCCTCCACCAGAGTGCCGACCCAAACGTATGCTTTTTCATGCAGGCGCAATAACCCCTGCCGGCACGATGCCCGTTATCACCTTCCCTACCAAAGCGATTATGTCCTCGCAATGCAGGCGCCGGGACCCGCAGCCCCTTCTCCGCTCCCCCCCCCTGCCCCAGTCGCGCCTGCACACAGGACCAAGAGCCGTGCCGAGCCACTGCATTTTGGGGAGGACGTCTGAAACTCGGCTGCCAAACCGCTCGCCACCTGCTCATGCACGAAACCCGCAACGGCAAGGTCGTGATGCTGCCATCGCCGCAGTTTTAGGAGTGGGGAGGGTTGTGCCTCTCAGGCGTTTCCAGCTCCTACATTTGCCTCCAGAATAAAAAAAAATGAGCAGCGGAACAGAGGAATATTCGGCCCCTAGGATCAACGAGGTACCGCCGACCTGACCGGCCCTGTGATGCTAATGAAGCATCAGTGCTGCCGCCAGCAGCTACTGCCGTGTCCGGAGGAGATGCTAACCATCACCGTGATAAACACTTCAAAATCGTCGGAACGAGCTTCCCCTCCCTCGCTGGGCCTCTGTGTTTCAGTTTAAGCAGCATAGCTAGAGCACGGCCTAGCAATACTCGAATACAAGGAGATGCGTTGAGATATACGGTATCTCAGCAGTCCCTCTGATTTTTAATTCTATTCTATTTTAATTTTTTTTAAGTTTAACTGACCCTTCTGGTCACCAACTTTCTTTGTGGTTCACTGTAAAGATCGCTCTCCAAGAACAAAAAAGAAATCTCGGAGCTTTGATAGAGACTCTGGATGAAATTAAGAACTTCAAACCCCAGATTTTTGAAAAGAAAAACAGATGTCCTGTTTGTTGAGTATAAATAACTCCGTACGTGGAAACCTTTTTTTTACGCTGCATTAAATTTTATTTAATGCTGGGTGCGTTTAAACTGTAAAAAAAAAAAGGGGGGGGGGTGAGCAGCAAAATATGTGGGTGACAAACCTCTAAATCTTTTCCCCTCTCGAAAGAGAAAGAAACAGGCAGACGGGAAACCCTTCATCTAGATGAAAGTGTTCAGTGTGTTTCCTAGCAGACCTGGCGAGCCTGCCCTGGTCGGTGCGGCAGCGAGGGGGATCGGGGAAGGGGGGAGAGGAGGGCGGCGGGGGCGCCCGCCGGGCCCGGCCCGCAGCGCTGCCCTGCGTGGGGCGCGCAGGCAGG